CCTGGAGGGTTGTTTTATGACTTGCTTTTTTCTGAATGCTTCATTTACTCTTTTAGTAAGAAAAAATATTCAACTAGTGAGTATAAGCCATGCAGTATTAATAAGGCACAACAACCAAAAAACCAAAGTCCCTTTGGTGGGATTGATTCTGATCCACAGCAATGACGGGGTAGAACTGTCCTTGGGAGTTTCTGAGGCTGTAACTTCTTTCTCCTAGAGTGGCTGGGAGTACCCTACTGCTCACCTTGTGGTTATCCCACATAACCCACTACGCCACCAGGGCTCCTCTATTGATAGGAAGGGGGAGTTAATAACTCTATGCTTTTGTTTCATAAAAAGTAACTAAAGAAATGTTTGCTGTATTTAAAAGACCTATTCCACTGAAGTGGAGAATTGATTGTAAAAAATATTGCAGCAAATATAAAAACATTATTGATAAATATTTCAATCATTTAAGCACAAAAATCAGTCAACAACCAGGCAATGGACTTGAACAGATAATTCTCAACTGGGGAATATAATTCAGTAATTCGTTCATTCACCAAATATTTCCTGAGCACTTATACCTGGTGCTGTTTGTTCTAAGACTAGCAGGTGAGAAAAGACCTTTGAGCGTTCTGACGGGGAAGGGGATGCGCATTGGGCGTGCTCCAAGAGCACCAGGCTCAGCTGTGTAAGGAAGTAAAAGAAGACATGTACGGAGAAGGACTCGGGTTTTTTATCTGGTTTGTTTTATTTTTACTGATTTTTTATTCTTTCAGTTGTTCGGCTGGAGGTTAGCATTCTTAATCTCTATTTAATTCTCTAGAAAATCATCAGTCAGATGAACGTTCTGTTGGAACGCCCCAAAATTTGGTACCCTAAGTGCTCTTCTCCTTTCCAGTTCTTCTCTAGAAGGTGCTTCCATCAGAGGTAGAATACATTTTTCTACCCCTGACCTGAGCGCTCTGCTGTTTCTCGTGGAAATAACTTAGGTGATGTCTTTTCACAGCATAATATTGGTTTTGTTCGTTGGGAGGAAAACTATTTCTCTGGGGGGAAAAGTCACATTTTTTTCCTGTGACTTCATTCAATAGCGAAATGTAGTGATTTGATTCTGCCATGAGTGAGAAAACACATCTGAAGATAGAACCGGCGTCTTGGGGTCCTTCTCCGCTCTTCTCAGGTTGATTCGGAGGGTCAAAGGAGATCCATATGGGAGGACTATTGGCAGTTAAAGGAAATCCCTGGATAGTTACATGTTAAAAGAGATACTTACATAGATGTACACAGAATGTTTTTATCTATTTATTTTTAAAAATCATTTTATCGGGGGCTCATGAAACTCTTATCACAATCCATACATACATCAATTGTGTAAAGTGCATTTGTACATTCGTTACCCTCATCACACAGAATGTTTTTAAAACTGTAATTAAAGCATAGAAATATCAGTGCATTTCTTTAAAGAGTGTCTTAGCAGATGGAAAGTAACTTGTCTAAGCAACTCTCTTCAAATAACAT